GAATATGTGTGCTCGAGAGTCTACACGTATGTATTACTAATTTATTCACCTTGCATGCTTTAATTATTACCTTTTTTTTTTTTTTTTCCTTGCAACATCCGGGTGCTCAGTGCGGCAGGGCTTTAATGTTATTAGCCGGGTGGTCCTTAAGTGCGATTAGTTTCGCTTGTGATGATAACGCCTCTTTTGAACTTAAAATACACGCTCAGTCTGAGTAGGGAAAGAAAGGTGGTCAAGAACATCAAACAGCTTAAACCACTAGAAATAAGAGCGTCAAACGGGTAAGGGTGGTCGATTAAGAAAGAATACAAAGAACATCTCCGTACATGATGTCATGCGTGCGTTATAAGGGTGATGGTCAAATCCCACTATTCGGTCAGATAGGAGTTGCCGCAGTGAGTCTAATAGCTAACAAGAGGAATCCTCAACAGCCGCGGCATTTAGAATTATTTTAGGCAGGATTAGAGTAAATTAATCTGTGAGACCTTGGGCGTGGTCAAATACATCAATCGAAAGGGTTTGACCTCCTGAGTCCAAAACTGTAATTAGATCTCAATTCCGCCAAGAGATAACGAAGCTATGAGCTAAACATTTGTACTTGAATAAAAAAAAACAAAAAACAACTCAAAGCCTTTCTATGAGCCGTTATGCCACGGCTAAAATTAAGAAATGGCTAACGCTCATAGACTTTGAATAGCTTTGCACGAATTACTGAAGGCAAACGAGGTTTTAAGAAGACACACAGCGTCATTTAATTTGTTCCTGATAGACCAATAATAGTCGGGATCAATTTACCTTTGTTTTTTTACTGTTTAACTTCGTGTTTCTTGATTCTTCAATTCATGATTTGATGTTTTTCATTTTCATATTTTTCGGTATGTGTATTGTGACAATGAACAATATCGTGCTACATGTACTTTATAACTTGAGTTTACGAAAAAGACTTCAGTTTACGTATTTAGGAGTTTCGAAGGATACCTTGTTTTACGTATTAATTCTGCTTTCTGTTTGTCAGATTGAGGGAGAGTTTTCGTTATCTTTAAAATTAATGTTATTTCATTTTACTCTTAGCGATGTATTAGGCTGATTGATTGGTCGTTAATATGCGGCTTAGTACGTGTGGTAGATGGCTTGGTACGTGTGGTAAATGTCCTGGTTCATGTTATAGATGGCTTGGTACATGTGTAGACGGCTTAATACATGTGGTAGATGGCTAGATCCATGTGGTAGACGACGGCTTGGCACATGTGGTAGACGGGTTGGTACATGTGGTAGACAGCTTGGTTCATTTGGTAGATGGCTTGATACATATGATAGACGGCTTGGTTCATGTGGTAGATGGCCTCGTACATTTCATAAGCGGCTTGGTTCATATGTGAACATCTAGGTTCATGTAGTAGACGGCTTGGTACATGTGGCAGATGACCCTGTACGCATAGTAGACGGTTTTGTACCTATGGTAGACGGTTTGTTACACGTGGTAGGCGTCTAGGTTCATGTAGTAGATGGCTTGGTACATGTGGTAGACGGCTTGGTACATGTGATGTGCGTCTGATACTAAGTGCGGAAAATGCTGCACAGTTGGAAACAAGATGGATTGAAAAATCACGTGCAAGAAATTCTCCGATTAGTATAAAAACTTCTCAATTACAGAAATAACCGTTTTTTAATATGTGCCACCGATATAAAATAAACACCACTAATAGTTGACAAAGAATGGTTCAGAAACCTCATTTCTAGTTATATTCGTTACTTCATTTTACTACCAGTTAGATTCTCCCCCTTTTCTGGTTTATACATAAACACTTAGGCCTAATATTCGTGATAAAAAATCGGATTTATTATTGTCCACTAGGGGATGTTTACTTCAACTTTAACGGTGAGGCAAGAGTTTAATTGAACAGGAACTTCAAAAGTTGGTGAAGCAATCGCAATTTCTAGACTTCATATTCGTGACAAAATTCACGTTAGGCTGCAGGTGTTTTTTGTCACGCTTCTCATAATTTGCTAGTTTCAGTTTTCGTCGTTCAAACCGCTACTTTAATGCTATGTATAGTTTGACTCGTGGTATTCTCACGTATTTCATGACACGTGGAATTCATACTTTCAGTACAAATGAATACACTTTGGAGCAACATGGTGTACGATAATGAACAGTAATCATTGTAAACATCTATGAAAATAACAAATTGAACAATATTTAGTATAATTACTAATATAATAATGCAATGAATAGTTTTAGGAAATTATAAAACATTCAAATTTGAATAAAGCAGAGGGGGAATAGTTTGAATTTCTGTCGAGGGGTGGATTTTTGGTGATGATATGTATTCGTGGTCATTACATCCAGTAGTTAGATTTGAAAAGTCTCCTAAGGAAACAGGGTGCGATGACGTTTCTTTGTGAGAATATGTTGGAGTGTTGGGTGGAGTTTGAAGTTTGGTTTCTGTTTTGTTTTCAGCCGTGTTTGTGAGTGTTGTTTGTAACTAAGGTGTTATAAGGAAGTTTAGTCGTTTTAAAAATACACTGTTTTATGTTAAGTAGTCCAAGGTTCGAGCAGTGATGCCACTGAGCACGTTCCATACATTCAGCTGTTTTGGCGCCAGTCATTTTATTGGTGAAAAGAACCAGACAAAGCCCTTAGGAAACGGATAATACTTACTAACTGCCTTCCTTCTGGTCAGTAGATTAAAATTTGGGGTGGATTAACTTGAATCCTAGGGATCTGTAACGAGGTATTTAGCACGCGTGCGCATAAGGTGATGTTCAGGTAAAAAAGTTCTAATTTCAATTTTCATAAACTAAACAAAAAAATGTTCATTCCAAAATCCCACACCACTATTAACTAAAACAAATAAAAACTGTTGAAAAATATTGAACATGAACGATCATATGAAAAGAATAACAAGAAGTTAGTTTCTAAGCAACTATAATTTAACTTGCTAGAACTGGATTTGATTTTCGCTATAGCTATTTAATCGTGATCGGATATTTGAAAATGCCGTTTTTATGTGTTGTTAAAAACCGTTAATTTTCTAAGTTTGTTTATCATTTTTATTATTATGCTCAGAATCTCAGATGTCAACTCAATAATTATCGATAGGGTTTTTTTTTTTGCTTTCACGGACTTTCAACACATTTTTCCCAAAGTATTTATGTAACACATTTCTTGTGGTCCATGAGTTTTTTAGATAAGGGTCCTTAATAACATTCGAGTCATATAAAATTCTAAACATAAATACCATTAGTATGGTATTTACTCCCACTAACTGCTGTTGGGGTGAAGGGGTCGACTATTATTTACGTAAAATAAGAATTACTTCTGCAGTTATTGGGGCAATTCTTTACACCAAGTGTTGTACACATAAATGTGACGCACATGTGTGGACCCCACTGGTAGTGAACGATATAAGAACAAGTAGGTAATTTTAAGTTGCCTTGTGTGAAATGCACATTGAAAAGTCTAAACACGTAAAAAAGTACTGTAGTCCTGTGAAGTTTGGATGTTACGTGTGAAACTAAAATTTTAGAACGATATTTTCTGTTTTCTGTCATAAAGGTTAGCCCAAGACCTCGTGCTGTTGGAAAGCCAATGACCACCCATTGAACAAATCACCTCTTTTGATGAAGCACCTGCTTTTGGATAATAAACGATATTAAAACAGTTGGGTAGTTCGAGAGTTAACAGGCAAAAATTTAGGATATAAAAGCAAAGTCTTACTTACCTGTAAAAGAGGACGTTCAGTTAAACAAGCTTTAACGAAACGTTTATTGATTCAAGTTTGGCAAAATATTCCACCTACTTACAGCAGTGAAAAATTAAAAAAAAACAACAACAACAACAGTGTTTGGCTTTTATAAATCATGTTTCCCCCTGCTTCATAAGAAAGTAGTCATAGGACTACCAATGGCTATTTTGTAAGTTTATATGCTGTGGGAAGTTAAACCGAGAATGAAATACGTTTTGACAGGGTGATTAAGGTAGGTAGGCAACAAAATAATTGTTATTATCAGCAGGAAACTTTATCCTCCTTTTATTACGACTAACAACTAGTGTTCCAGCCTTAAGCCTACTTTCCCCACTAATTAGTAACCAGGCAACCGGAAGTTGTGCAGGAGTCTGTGAAGAGGAGCATTAACTTGCTTGTAATATAACCATACTACTAGATGAAAAGATTAGTGGGACAAAATAATATAAATCAGGGACTGAGAGTTTTTCAACCAGTCCTCACGACACCCCTCTTCTCTGACCTTGAGTGGTACCCAGCTGTTACTATTGGTTGCAGTCAAGTGTCGAATAATTACCTACATCACACTAGGAAAGGTTTATTTTATTCATGGGTAGCACCAAAAGATTTCAAGTAGCCAACGAAAAAAGTGTCTAGTTTATTGTGGTGATTAAAACTGATTTTTTACTCAAACTCAACCGACACATTTTTTACATGAGTTATCGAAAGATCATGCATTGCAGACCTTGATTACTTCTTACTGCTTACTCGTATTTTCAGACTATTCCATTCCAACAACGTATTGCTTGTTTTTGATAATATATGATTTTAGCATAGCAACGTAAACTGAACGTTTGGACCATGAAAGGGTAATGTTAGGAAATGGGAGGAAAGGCCCATAACTCTGTTCCCTAATACCACCTGAGTCCCTCACACACAGACAAAAATAAACGAATATACTATCAGTATTGAAATTTATCTGTCTAATTACTGTGTGGGCTTCCTATGTAATTTAAGTTAAAAAACATACTGTTTTGTTCTTAAGTGCAAAGCTACAGCATGGGCACCTGTACTGTTCCCACTGCTAGTATCAGAACCATAAGGGCATAGGTAATGAGTGATATTGGAAAGTTCCTTTAGTCTGTTCATTACTCTGGGTAGGTAATAACATAATATTATTCATTATGAGGCAGCCAGTGTACTCCTCTGATAGTGTACGGTATGTAAACAAGTCGTTAATTTGAATTAACAAATTATTGATTTAATTACATGATGGGTTTTATTCTTACAGGGAAGAAATGGCGCAGTCTAACACCCCAGGACAGACGGCCCTATGTTGAAGAATCGGAGCGGCTTCGAGTTCAACACATGCATGACTTTCCACACTATAAGTACAGACCACGTCGACGGAAACAGCATTCCAAACGAGGAGCTCGAAAAGGAACAAATTCGAGCTCTCCAACCCAGAATCCGTCCATAACAGGATTGCCAAACTATAAAAATGGTTATTCTTTTTATTACCCGGTTACCACTGACATTTCTTCCTTTTCAACAGGACCACGAACTTTAAGAACAAGTGAACTAGGTGGAGTTCAAACTCCCGATTCCTCTCCTCATGGGAGTCCATGTTCTGAGGTTCCAGCACGAAGGATAGAACGATATCGGATCCATGAATATACCGAATTGACTAATATTGGTCTCGATTCCATCCAATCTCTTCCTACTCCTGAAATGTCTCCAGTTGAAACAGAACTTGACAGTTTCGTACTTCGAAATGCACTGAAAGAAAAACATAAGATAAAGAACCCAGTAGGTCAGTTGGTGGCCAAATTTAGCGATTCTTCTAGTTTTTTTCAGGATATAAAGCCTCCATTTCAAAACCAAATACATCAAGGGATTGGCCATGGTTTGGGTGGTTCCAGCCCTAATCTGCGGGATTTAATATTAGAAAACGCGAATTATTCTAATGAAACCACTCAAACACATTTTATTCTATCATACCCACGAAACTCCTCTTCACAAGTGATCAAATCATGTCAGGACACACGTCGTCCATCATG